CTGCCACCCCGCTCCGTGGCCCACCGCCTCACTGCGCATTAAGGAGGCTCCTCTCTTTTGCTGCGTGCGTTCCCTCTATTCTCTCTACCCTCCCAACCCCACGAGGCAGCCCCAGAGGGGCTGGGGCCAGGTTTAGGGGTTTGAAACCTGGCTGTGAGCTAGCAAAGGGCAGGAGGGAGGCTGCAGTCACACTGCTGGGGCTGACACCCCCAAACCCGGTGGTCAGGCCCCTCGTTACCCCTTCCTTTGGGTTTGCCTCCCGCGCTTCGGCTGGCTGGTTTCAGGTGGCACCGTGGGGTCACACTGCGCAGAGTCAGCCCCAGGCAGAGTGAAGCCAGTGGCAGTATGGGTTTCTGGGCGGCTCCCTCTGTGCGCAGTGTTTGAAATCCGGGACCATCCCCATAAAGAGCTCTGGCCGCGGAGCTGGAGCGTGGGAACCCACATTTGTGCCGTCGCCACCTGGTGGCGCCACTGTGGCTGCAGGCCGGAGCCACCTCCACACCTAGGCCTGAGGGTCTGGGCTGACAGCGGTGTGGGGTGTGGGGGACATGGTGCAACGCGGCGCCTGCCCCGCATCCGCGGATGTTAGCTCCCAGCAAGGACGAGGGGGTTTACAGGCACCCCCTTCTCTGTCTCTGTCTCTGTTTCCCTCTGTCCATGTCTGTCTGTCTGCTCCCGCCCCCGCATCTCTCTCCCTCTCTGCCTCTCTCACAGGGACAGGGCTCATCATTCTGGAGGGGCTGGCAGTGAGGGTCCACTGGGGCAAGAGGCCCCTCAGGTCAGCCGCACCTCGGAGCTGTGCCCCACGGCGGCTTCCCTGGTGACCCTGTGCCAGGTTGTGGATTCACAGGTGGGCTCAGACCCCTTCTCTTTGGCCTCCAGGGCAGGGGCAGAATGATCCTGGTAATCCTGGTTGATGGGCTGACATTCGACTGTAAATTGGATGGAACCAACTGCGAAGTGAAAGTAGGATTTTGGTTTATTTACAGTGACCCTGTCACTGCACTCAGCACCATGGGACCTTAGTGTAAAAATAAAAAATAAATGAGAATACTGTTGAAGTAACCAGGCTTTTTATCGCTGTCGCTGCCCCAGAAGCATCAAGCCACCTCTGTCTGCGGAAACCAGTCGCAAAAAGCGTCCTCCAAGACGGGACCCAGCACAGGACGGCCTTCGTGGGGCGGGCGAAGTCGCTGTGCGTTGCTGGGATTTTTGTTCTGTTTTGAACTTTTCTACTTTCTGAACATCCTTTCCCAGGAAATACCAAGTGGAGAAGAGAGCAGTGGAGGAAAATTCCTTCTATCACTTTAGCAATGAGGTTTCTTTTACCAGTGGACTTCACATTTTAGAGTAGTTTTAGGTTTACAGAAAAACTGAGAGGAAAGACAGAGTTCCCCCCGCCCCCCCGGCCCGCCACCTCAGGTTCCCCAACTGCTAACGTGTTGCATGGGTGCCGTGCGTTTGGTACGATGGATGGGGCAGTATCGACGCGTCATTATTAAGTCAAGTCCATAATTCACGTGAGGATTCACTCTCGGTGCTGTGCACTCTGTGGGTTTTGATAAACGTGTGACGACGTGTATCCACGGTTACAGCACTGTTCAGGAGAGTTTCACTGCCCTAAAAGCCTCCTGTAGCAATGAATTGTTCTGGTTAGATTCAAACACTTTTAAGATTAATACAGAATCTTTATTATTTGACTCTTATCTGATATTAACACACTCATGTCAGCTTTCTTATGCTCTATGTTTTCAGGGAATGTATGTATTTCTCTCCTTAACTTACAACCTGTCTGTTTCTGGTTTTGAAGTCTTTCTTGTTAGCAAAATGTAGATCATTTTTTAAAATTGAAGTACAGTCGGTTTACATTGTTGTGTCAATTATTTCTGGTGCACAGCACAATGTTTCAGTCATGCATACATATACGTATATCTGTTTTCATATTCTTTTTCATTAACAATGAAATTTTAAAGCAACTTAAAAAAAATGGAGCTGTCCCCACTTTCAGAGCTGCATAAACACCGCAGGAGTCGAATAGCACGAGAACGTGCAGATGAGGTCCTGTTATCTGCACACAGGCCGGCCGGGTGTGGACTTGTGGGGCACACTGGGGCTGGGGCTGGGCTCTGCAGGAGTGGAGGACAGTGGCACACACATGGAATGACGGTAGTGTGTGTACGTGCATTATTAGAACAAAAGGAATGGGAGGTGTGGGCTGGCGGCTGAGCAGGACTTGGGTGGGTTTTGCGATGGGGGACTGGCTGAATCTGGCCGATGGAGGGTTTGCTGCCGTTGCACCGCCCGTGGGTGACGGTGCTGCGAGGCCGGCTCTGAGCCCACGGACCTACTGGGGAGCCAGGCAGGAGGCTGCTTTCCCTCCTCTGCACCGTCCTGCTGAAGCGTCCGTGGCTGAACGGTGTCCTCCCTGTGCAGGGGCACTGCGTGAATATGGGCTGGCCGGCAGCCTTTGCCTCTGGGACCCAAAGATAATACAGCTCCCTGCTTCCTGGGGGTGAGCGGTGGCCTGGCCAGGCACCTGGACAAAGCAGGCTCTCAGGCCCGCCGAGATGGCCCCCTCGGCTTGTGCTGGCCTCTGTCTGAGAAGGGACCCCTGCAGCACCAGCGCCCAAGCTGAGGGTCCCTGGAGGTGTTTGTGGATAAAACAGACCCTTCAGGTCTGTGTGAGCTTCGTTATCGGAACTCCCCACTGCGAGGTGGCGGTGCTGGTTCTGGGCGCGGCGGTGTTCGTGGGCCTCTGCCAGCGTCCCTTTCATTCTGCAAAAGCCTGTTTGCCCAGAAGGCGTGTCTTTGCCTTTTTCCCTCTCTCACTGCCTGACTGTAGCATTAAATGCGATAAAAAAAAGTACCGCCTTGCGTTTGTTTCTGGGACCGTGGAGACGCCGCCTCCCGGGGTGTCCTAGGTGGCGGCTGCTGGTTGAGAGCCAGTCGGCTGAAATCTGACGTTAGGAACACGGGGTCTTTTTGGAAACTGCCCTTCGCTGCCGAAAAGGCCCTGAATACATGAGAAGGGGGCTGACTTGCTGTGCGCCCTGCATTTATTCTTCTAGCTGATAGTTTCTTTTCTCCCCCTTTTCATTTTATTAGGTTAATAAAACTTGGTTCTCGAGCGTTTCGCTGCCCCAGGAGGGCAGTGGGCCCCGCGTCCAATTCATCAAGTGCCTAATGAGTGGCCTCGGAGGGCCCGGCCCATCCATTCCAGAAGCTCTCTCTGCCTCGTAAAGGTGAGGCCTATGGGCTGCACTGTATATTTTGTCTGTTGGTTTCCCAAATTCTCCTGCCAGCTCAACTGTCACTTTTCAGGATTTATATGAAGCCGACGGCTCCAGGGGGCAGCTTCCCTCCACGGCAGAGCCCCTCCCCCGCCCGTTCTTCACACACACCACACACTCAGTGCTGCAAAACAACGTTTCTGCAATAAAATGAAATAAAATGTGTCGACGCTAGCACTTTAGACCATTCCAGCCAAAGGGCTGCGGGAAATGCCTTCGTCTACACGAAGGAGGGAAGCTCTGTGAAAGCAGGAATAAAACAGTGTGAGGAAAGGCCTCCAGTGAGAAGAAATAGTCTGGTATTTAAAATAAATGAATTAAAAATAAAATGTGCATGTGTGCCTGTGTGTGTGTGTGTGCATGCAGTCTCTAAGCCCTTTCTTCACATACATGTGTGCCACCCTGGTTTACTTTTGATGTTTTCAGAGAAAGAGCAGTGAGGGAGAGAAGTGGATGTCACTTGCCTTCTAAGTCCAGGGTCTGGGCTCTGTCTCCTTCTAGAACATCCCTCCTTCTCCTCCCCCTGCAGGCTCTCTTGCCTTCACTAAGTTGTCAGAACCCTGTCAGCTCCAGGCTGGGGCTGTGTCTGCCCCAATGTGGACGGGAAACTAGACTCTGAGCGCCCAGAGCTTGAGGCCCATACATTAGCTCGGGGCCGGGAGCCCGAGAGACTGGGGAAGGTTGCCAGGGTGGGGCCATGGCTGGGTTGTGGGTCCCCAGGCCAAAGGCCTCCTAAATTTCTGCACAGTAGCCCAGCCATGTCAGGGGACCTCCTCTCTGGTGTGAGCCTCCAGAAATCGCCCGGGCTTTAATGAGGCACGCCGACGGGGCCTGTGCTCCTCTAATAAGTGACTCCACGTGACCTGTGATTTTCTCTCCCCTTCCGTCCAGGGGCCGCCGTGAGCTCGGGAGGGAGGGAGCACCGAGGGGAGGTCATGTGTGCTCTGCAGGCAGTGAAAGGCAGATGGCAAGCCGTCTCAGAGGGTTCCCTGCGATGCCCTCTGCATTTTAAGCCCACCCAGTCCCGAAGCCAGGGTGCAGGCCCCATCCAAACAGTTGGCTGGAATGTGGGGACCTCTTTTAACACTTGGGACGTGGAGAGGTGACACATCTCCCAGGCTGTGGGGCAGAGACGAGGATGGCTGTCTCTCTTCCACTGTCTCCCTGCACTGTGGAGGAGGAGGGTTCTGGAAGGTCCCTGAGGCCAAGGAGGGTATCCATGGCCGGTTCACTCACACGGAGACTGGCACTACCCATCACCTCCCTCTTTCCATGTGGGGAAGATGCAGTGCAGATTGCGTGGCTCTCAGCAGTGACCTCAGAGGGTCCACACACCCCAGAATTTTCGTCCCAGGCTCGCACACTCCTACATGTTCCCGTTGGAACGAAGGATTTCACGGCATGTGGGTCAGTGGCTTGGAGTCCCCCCCACGGGAGGCCACGAGCAGCCACTCTGATTGGGGCTTGGAGGCAGTGGATGTGGCTCACGACCTGGGAAGACCCTCAACCCAGGACTGCCTTTGTCAGCTGGCCCCTGCTCCACCCGAGGCGGCTACATTTCCCACGAAGCGCTGGCCCTCCCCTGCCCGCCCCTCTTACGGGCACTCATTGTGCGTCAGATTATCTTCTGAAAATATACTTTGAAGGGCTTTTGTTTTGTTTTGTTTTTCCTACTTGACACTCTTGAATCAAGTAGGCCATTTATCTTTTAGGCGGAAGAATTTCAACAGCTACGCTGCACACTTGCTGGAAGATTGCAGGCTCAAAGCAAAGAGGTATTAAAATTTTTTTAAATCACGGGCTTATTCTTGTCTTAGCTTCCCCCCTAAACGTTGCAGCTTTCCTCCCTCTCCCTAACTAATCCTCCCCACTGCGGCCCACCCCTGCCCCCACGGATCCAGCCCACCTCCAGCTCCTCACACTGAAAGAAGCATTCATGCCCAGGCCATCTGTTTGTTTAAACTCACCCTGTGTTAGTCCATGTTAAATGCAACAGAATGGAGAAAAATGTAATTCTCTGTCGGCTTTTGATCAAAGAGAGGGCTTTTTTAAAAAAAAAGATCCAAGATGGATTTCTGAAGGACAATGTTATACACATTCCGTGTGTTTCTGAGCTTCAGCGTTGAGTTGATTGGGGGGGGGAGTTTTTTTTCCCTTTTGGTCCCAGGGAGAAAACACTCGCACAAACACATCTCAGCAGCACAAACACTGGGCGCTTCCCTGCAGACTCCCCAGCCGAGAAGTGGAAGCCGACTCCCTTTAATTCATCAGCAGTGCAAGAGAGTTTGAAAAACAGCTCAGCTGCTAGGAACAAACCTTTTCTTGCTTCTGTGAGCATTCAGGGCAAAGTCCCTCTTGTCTGGGCGAATGCAGGACGAGGATGCTCCCCCAAGCCCGTGCTCAGAAACTCGCACGTCCACGCTCACTGCCGTGATCTGATTTTCACGACCAGTCATTAAAAGCACATTTCTCCCCTCACTCCCTCAGCTTCGGAGCAAATGCAAATAAAAAGTGCTTAAAATGGTTAACATTTCCTGTCACTGAAGGCATTCGTTAGGGGTGGGGGTCGCTGAGTTTTAAAGTGTATTTTCATAGGAAAACTCATTTCAGATCTGCGGCAGGAACTCGGACCAGTTCACACGGTGAATTTCGGGGTTTGCGATTAGCCTGCGTCCGTTGCAAGCAGTCGAATGATCCTTTATATTATGCGGGTGTAGAGGAGCAGATATCCAAATTCGAACTGAGATTACCCCAGGGCCCAGCTCAGGTCACAGGAAAAAATTAAAATATGTCCTGCCTCCCCGCCCTCCTCCCCTCTGCTCACTTTCTTTTCCTTTATTGGAGAAAAAAACAAATTTGGCACTTTAATTTGTTGTGTTTCCTCTATTGATTGTTTAGCTAGTGATTTTGCCAACTTCCTGGATATTCATTCTGGTTCTGCACAAAAGAGCCCCATTTCCTTCTGGAATCGGGACCAGGACACAGACACAGCAGCCGACCCTGGAAACTGTGAGTACTGCACAGTCTCTCTCCTGTGGCCCTGACCCCGCTGGTCCGGTCCGGTCCTGCCTCCCCTTTCTTCCTCTGCCCGCTAGCTTTCTGCGGGGCTCCTCGCCTCAGCTCGCTGTCAGCCCTCGGCTCCATTCTCAACTTCTAGGAAAGAGACTACAGTTTCTACCCAAACATCGGATTGGGAAGGGGACGGGGTGTGCTTACCAATTGCAGTGACTCCAGTTTTCATTTCAAGGCTCCGAAGGATGGAGAAAGTAAACAGAAGCAGGCTGGTTTATTTCAGGGGCTAACAGCGAGTCCCTGCTGAATTTACCCAGTAAAATGAATTTTAAAAATGTTCATTTTCTCATTTCATTCCACCAGAAAATGAGTTTGCCTTTATAATGTCCAGATCTTTCAAACTCTATTGAGTGAGAAATTAAGTTACAAAATGTAAATACTTTGGTATATATATACATATATGAAATGCATATATATATATATATATATATATATGAAATGAAGTAATTTGTGACTGTAATACAATAGCAAACCTGACTTTAAGGCTCCTAGGACACTGAAAAATTTTTTTATGAGGTGTAATGAGGAAAAATAAGAGTCAGTAAAAATATTTCTCTTTTGAAATGAGTGAATTGCGATACTTAAATTTAATTGTAATTTTCATTTAACATAAGTTATCTGTTTAAAAATTTTTTTTCTGAACATCTTGTCAAATATTGGGAGGATTGTAAAGAAAACACATGTTAATATTCTAGGCCACAACTGACTTCTTTCCTTTCTTTCCACGAAACTATTCCAGCAAGTATGGGAAATTGTAAAACAATGTAGTTCTCTCATGAAAAGAATACCCGGGCTTTAATTACCAAGAGAAAGCAATTAATGCTCAGATTTCAGGGCCAATCCAGTGATCAGTGAGGAGCAGGAGGAAGGGGGAAAGCAAGACGGTTACATTTGCATAAGAAAATCCAGAAATCGACATCATGCAGATGTATAATTGGAATGTGATTGTATTTATAAGGAAAAGTTATGTAAACTTCAAAAATGGTAGTTGTTTTGCTTAAGTGCCTGAAAAAAGAGTTTAGAATAATATTTGGGTTATCCCAATTTTGTGCTCTTGTGTTCTCGAAGCCTTGTTAGGTTAAAGAACTCCAGAGGAGTGGGGGTGTGTGTGCAGAGTGTGCCTCCCCTGTGCCCCAGCCCTGAGGAAGTGTGGGGAGAAAACGGTGGGAGCGGACTGGTGACAAAAGCTTTCACTCCAGAAATTCATAACTAGTATAAAACTCTTAGAAATTAAAAACAGCTTTTTTTTTTTTTTTTTTTTTTTTACCTTTTTCACCTCCTCTTTGGGGTCGTTGCGGGGGAATCGTGTGATGGGGCGGACATGCCAATGAAAAAAATTCCTACAGACCAGTCTGTGCAAAAAGGATGTTGCCACTTTCCTGCGCTTCTGATTAGAGTAGTTCGTTCTTGCTCTCCTGTCCCTGATGCTGTGGCCTTGTACATCTTAAGTATAAGTTGTAAGCTTTCTGATTCGGATCGCCGAAAGTCTCCCCTTCCTGGGGAGGTCCCCATGCTGCCCAGTAGATGGCGGTGTTACTTCTAGAGTGACCCACGGGGTGGGGGTGGGGAAGGCGGAAACCGAGATTTGGCCCCAAATTGTGTCCGGACCCCCTTCACCTCTCCGGAGTGCATCCAGTGAGCTCTAAACGTAAGAAGGGAAACTTCTGGGGGGCCGCGCCTGAAATCAGCCAAGCCATCCAAGAGTATTTAAAGCACCCAAGGCAACTGTTAATTACCAAGTGTCTCACCTTCCTGAAATGGCCTGAGACAGTGCCCAGCTAGAGCTCAAAGACATGCTTCCTGGAAATGTTCAAAATAAAAATGGAAGAAGCTTAGCAGCTCTTTCCATAATTTATCTGCTGCCTGTCTATGTCTGAACAAGCCAGAGGTATCCTTACTCTCCTGTGATGATCACGAAGACTGTCCTGTTACAGGATTGCGTGGATCTTCATACGCGCACAAATGGCCGACTAAAACCAGGCATATGCAGATAACGACACCAGAGTCTCACCTTCTCAAAAAAATATTTTCCTTTTGAAAGTGATGAATGCATGTGGGACTCCCACCCTGGACGTTGTATTTCATTATATCAGCACCTGCTAAGTGGTATCACCAGCTTCTTAAAGCTTTTAAACTTTCGTCTCCCACGAACAAAGCCCCTCCTCTCCCACTGGGAAAAGTCTCTACTTTATTTCAAAAACAAACATTTTTCGGTCTCCACCTCTTGCTAGAGAGAATCCCAATAATGATGAGCATGTCTGTCAACATATTTAATGTTGAAATTATTTCAAAACATTTTTGGATGATTTCAAGGTTTTGATTCTTCTTGGGACAACACGTTTTCTTAATTTGATTCACGTAATAATTTGCCGTATTTTTTTTTAATTTAAAAAGAAATAAGGTTCATGTTGACAATTATTTTAAACAAACAGGAATTCAACAACAGCAACAAAAAAGTTTATTTCTTTTCCTAAAAATGACGGTATCATTTGTCCTGGGTGGGGGATAGGCAGGAATTCGTCTCCCTCCAAGTGTGAAATACTATTTAAAGACATAGAAACGTGTACATGCGGCAGAGTACAGTGACTTCATCATGCTGGTAGTAATTAATCATGTGTTGCTCTTTAAGAATTTAATTGAATGACATGCCAGCTTTATACCTGTATGTGTTTACAAACTGAGCCAAGTCTTCGACTATTCGTAACTGGAATCTACGTATTAATAAAATGATTGTGCATAAAACCAGCTGTTTAAATAACTTCTGTTCCGCTTTAAAGATGTTGCCCTTTGGGGAGAAAGTCATTTAAGTATTGAGTGGCAGTGACCAGCGAACAATAGTTAAAATGAAAATAAATCTTCCTGATACTTAGTTCTAATTTTCTTGAGCAAGATACTAGCCCATAAAAAATAAACATCGTTTATGGAGCCAGGCTTGTGTCAAGTGAGCCTCTGTAAAATGATACGGAGAAAACATGAACTTGTATGTCTCAAGTTCTCTGGTTCGCTAGCAGAGCAGAGAGAGCCATTTGATACGTAGAAACCGAAGAAAATAAAATTAGTGATTTTAGAGAGAGGTCCATTCAGATTTGTGCAGGCCCAGGGAGGCGACTGTATTAGAATTCACACAAAAAAATCTGTGTCACTTGGCACCTTGGCTTAAGGGATAATTTAATTACACCACCTATTAACGCTGCTCCAGCCAGACTTCTTACGATCTTGTTTATTTCCAGAAATCACATTTGTGACAGCTCTAATAGGCCATTCAACAGTGAACATTTTCTCATTTCGCTGAAAATATTTCAGGTTTCAGACACCCAACTAGGAAAAGCACATTTGGGCTTCATGTATATGAATGAACTTGTTCGGGGCAAGACTTTCTTTGTAGAAAATGAATTCAACCAGCCTGTTTGACCAATTTCAGCCTAAAATATTATGTTTCAATTTGCCACACAGGCTGATAGGCCCTAAGCTGATGTAAAGGCTCTTGCCTCTCCTGGGCTATATTTTTTCTAATTTTCTGGTGGAAGGGCAGAAAGTGGCCCTGGCTCCACCTCTGCATTTGGGTTTATGGAAACAGTACGGAGGCCTGGTCACCGGCAAGCACGCCAGGCTGCACATGCCTGGCTTGGAGGGATGGCGCGCTGTTGCAGGTTCCAAAGCCTGTATTTATAAACTTCCCACTTTTTGTTTTTTGAGAAAGTCATGTTTGATCTCTGGCGGCAAAGGTTGTGGAGGGGGGAAATAGTTACGTCCCTCTTCACAGCTGAACGCAATCAAAATACTTATTTTATGTTGTGTTTTAGTTAAAAGGTAAAAGAGAAGAGAAAAAGACACCCAAACAAACCAGAAGACAGAGTTAGCAAGGAGTCGTCCACCCTGAACGGACGGTGCGGTGCCGGGACTCAAGCCCTCGGGACACACTGCGTTTTGTCTCCTCCCGCACCCCGCCCCTCCACGACGTTCTCTCAGAGGGAGACAGGGCATCGTGGGGATTGGATTTAAGGGTCAGCTAACGTGTTTAAGCTGTGTGTCAGGAGAAAGAAGGCCGAGATCCTTTGTGCAAACAAGCACCAGAAACTCAAATCCCTGCCTGTCTCTCAGAAACCAAGCTTGCCCTGCATCTCCTGAGGGGTCTGGAGAAGTGAGGCGTGAGGCCACCTTTCAGTGGCCTTGTATCACCGCCTCTGCGCCAGAGGTTCCAGGCAGGAGCGACGGGAGGCCCGAACATTCCTGGCTGGCTCTCCCCCGGGAGAGGGTCTGGGGACCCAGGTCTGTCCCCAGGCTGCGGTGGAGGCTGGCTTGGTGAGGAGATGGGACCATTCCCTTCTGGGAGAGCTGTCACCAGTCTGCAGAGCGGACGGCCTCACGGGGGCTTGGACGATGCCGTGCTGCTGTCCCATCGCACACACTTTCCCGAAACTCTGATCTCGGACACTCAGTCATGTGACAGACTCCTTAGTGTTTGATTTGCGAGTCGTCTGCCCGCCAGAATCTGTGTCATGGTGGTTGTGCACTTACAACAAGGTTGACGTTTACCCAGGGTTTGAGTGTGCCGGGGGTCATGTGGGATAACCAGATGGTGCCTCCCAATGGGCCGACGGCTTCGGGCATGTCCTGGTCCCTGCCTGATGACCTGGGGGCCTGGGTGGGGTTCCCGGGGGCACGGCTGCCATGCGGGGCTGGGGAGCCCTGGGATTTGAGTCCAGGCTCGGGGGTCGCAGGCCCACACTCTTCAGCATGGCTTCCTCATGTTCTGGGAACTCAGCACTGTTGACGGAGGGTGATTGTGAGGTGGAGGTGATGCCCGAGCAGAGGGTTTAGGCAGATTCGGGTTTAAACAGGCCTCTGCCCTCAGTCACTGGTGAGCCCTGGTGAAATCTTTGAATTTCCTAAGCTTTGATTTCCTGCTATATAAAATGGAGCTGGTGATCTTTCTTATCTTTCTTTTTCAGGTCGTGAGGATTTGAGATTGTGAATGAAAAGGCCAGGCCCCTAGCATGTGCCAGATCGAGGCCGTCATGGCCATCTGTGGGTCAGCTCCCGGAGCCCAGGGTCAAAAGGGCTGATGGGCCCCCTGGCATCACATCTTGGGCCCCTACAAGCGGGGCGACCCTGGGTGAGTCACTTGAAACACTGGTCTTGGTTTTCTTTTCTGGTTCAGTTCCTGCCTCAGAGGCTCAAAGAAGGAAGGAAAGTCCAAGTGGCCGTAGTAGACACTAAGGGAACGCCCGCGGGGCATCTCCTTGCAGGTGTGCCCTCTCCGTGCTGGTGCTGCCCTGGGAGCGTGGCCCCCAGACTGGCAGCCTTGCCGTCGTGGGAGTCTGTTGGAAGTGGACTGTCGAGCCCCACCCAGCCCTCCTGAGTCAGAACCAGGGCTTTGTGTGCACCGGCCTGGAGCACACGGAGACAGAGGCCACCTGTCCCAGAGGAGGCTCCCTCTCCGTGAGTCCGTCTGCCTTTAGCCCTCTCCCTCATTTCTCCCTGGCCGGCTCATTTCGCAGGCCCCCAAGGTTGGGTCCCCTGGCTTAGGTCCCCTGGCTTCTGGCTGGTCTGGCTGGTGAGAACAAGGAAGGAGGGAGGGCGGGCTAGAGGAGGGAGAAGCCAGGCCCTCCTCCTCCGCTTCGCGCCCCTCCTGTCCCCTCCACCTCGTGCCTCTCCTCCCCCAGCCCACATCTCAGCAGGGGGTCCGCTGCAGGGAAGGGCCAGGCTCTCCCACCCTGGGGTCCTCTCTGGTCCCTCGGGCCCCAGGGCGCCAGCAGCTTCCCACCTATGTGTATCTCTTCGGCTCTGCTGGTTGGCTTCTGTTTTTACATCGTCAGAGCAATGAGTTCCACATATTGAATTCTCTCTGTTTTAAATACTCAGAGAAGTTTCTGTTTTTCTTGGTTGAGTCTAGTGATCCACCCAGGCTCACGCCTCAAGGGGAAGGGGTCTTAGTGTGGGGGGGTTTGGACAAGGGTTCCATCTGGCTTTCCCACTGCCTCGTGCTGGACCCTGGACCAGGGGGGAACCTGGGTGCAGAGAGGCCCCCTTCTCTCCTGCCCCAGTGCCTCCTTGGCCCTAACCTGGGCCTTCCTCTCCTGCAGCAGGTGGAATGTGTCAGTAGCCTCAGGTCCTCACCCCTCCCTGGGTCCAACCTCTTTGTCCAGGGCTTTGTAGCTCCTACTAAGAGGCAGGTAGATTTCCTCATCCCTGGAGTCTGAGCTTCACTGTGTGACTTGCTCTCACCAATAGGATGTTAGCAGGCACCACTCAAGCAGAAGCTCGGAGAAACACCTGCCTGTTTTCACCAGCACTCCTGTGCCCTGCCGTTTGTGTGAGCGGTGCCCGAGCTGCTGGCCTGAGGAAGCATGGGAGATGTGCAGAGCGAGCTGGGTCGCCCCAGCCGTCCCCGCAGAACTACGACGTGTGAGTGAGTAGCCCGGCCTCCATCAGTGGGACACCTAGCTGTCCACCCCAGACGAGGGCAGCAGTGCTATCCTCACGTGCCGCGGGGTTGTGTGCTTTTGGTCCACAGCAAGATGTGCTAAGAGCTGACTGGTCCCTCAGGCTGGTGACAAGTAGCCCTGTTCCTGTGCCCAAGGGCAGGGGCAGGTGTAAAATGGTACTTAAAGACAATGTTTGTGGGGCCAGGAAGACCTGGACTAGGGTTCCATCTCTGCTCCTTCCTATTGGGTGTCCTTGGGACAGTCAGTTTGAACCTCTGGGCCGCAGTTTTGTTCTCTGTAGAGCAGGGATCATGGAGCCCACCTCCTGGGGGTTGTAGGGAGGGAGACGATACAAGTGAAGTACCTGGAACATCACTGGTGTGTGACAAACGTTACTGTCACTACCAGCAGAGCTAGTGACAAAGTTACATTATTGAAACCAACAGCAGTCACGGTCTAGCCTTGATCTTCCTTGCTCTGCTGCCTGACACGCACCCCAAGGTTCTGGCCACGCCCACATCTCGCTATTCCCCAGTTGCCTCAGTGCCTTTGCACCTGCTGTCCGTCTGCCCAAGTGCCGTCTCCCTCTCCTCCAACTAGGCACTTGCGCTGGGGAACTGAGGGGACTCTCCGAGTACTTCACATCTCCCTCCTGTCCTTTTGGGGCCATCGTCCTTTAACTCTGGGTCACCAGGGGCGAGCCAGCTCTCCCATCTCGGAGCAGGGGTCCACTCACACCTGGGCCCACTTTATAGAGCACTGCCCTCCACATTTCCCCAGCGGCAGGAGGCGTAAGGGCCTGGCATGTGGGAGAGAAAACACGGATTGCTGCACGTCCCACCCTCCACACCAGCCTGCTGTGAAAGCCTGTGTGCCACCACTTGGTCACCCGGCCGGTCATTCCACGGGCAGCAAGGATCTGTAGAGCCCGACTCTGTGGCTGGCGCTGGGTGGCTCTGGGTTTACAGCTGTGAGCAACAAGCATGGTGGGTTTTGTCTTGGCTCACCATCTGTGGGGGAGGCCAGATATGTGCCAGGCAGCTGCAGGCTTTGGGGAGCTTCGGATGGGGCACTTGGCATGTAGACGAGGGGGTTTCGGGGAAGCCCTAGGCAGGTGTCATGTGATGCCTTGGGAACCTGAGGCTGGTTTCACTATGGAAATAAATACCTAATCATATAAATAAAATATGTATGTTAGTGAACAGAAGCACCTGCCTTTCAGTTGCCAGAAGACAGAGAACATTGTGATTGGGTGGCATTGACGTCAATCATCTCAGATAGGCAAGAGGGAGGCGGGGCCTCAGGCCTGGGTGGGAGTTGTTTCTATGGAGATGGCCTGTCTAACCCCTCCTGTGTTCATTCCTGAAAGATGGGGTGGGAGTGAGAGCTGCTCGTACTCAGGTGCGCGTGGGTCAGCTGCGGATAACAGAAGGCCGTCCCAGGTGGGGAGGCAGGGACCCCGGCTCTTCCCAACTTTTGGGCTCCGGGCCTGAGGTCTCAGGTCCCAAGGTGAAGGCCGCACCTCCGAGACTCGTGTGTTGCAGGAAGGGTAAAGGGCCAGGGAGACGCTGTGCTGTGCTTCCCTCTGGAAGGGCCCCCTCTGGGTAGCTCACCTCCATCGCCTTGGCTGGGACCCTGTCACCTGACCACTCTCACTGCAAAGGAGTCTGGGAAACTGCATATTTTTAGTCAGGTCCATTGCCAAGCCAAACAAAACCAGAATCCTGTCAACAGGGAGGAATGGGGTGGGGAACAGATGTGGCTGGGCAGCCAGCAGAGGGCCGAGCAGCACGGGTCAGAGCTGACGATTCCGAGACGCTCTCTGGATCCGAAGCAGAAAGAGACACTTTGCTTTACAGAAATCCTCCAGGCGAGATGCTTATCTCTTCACATTCTGAATGTCTCACTCCGGGCCTCTTTAAAAGTGAAACGAACTAATGTGTTTCTACCAGTTGGGGAAAATAAGGGGTTGGTGTTTGGGGCCAAGACTGCCCTTAGAGCAGGAGGCTTTTTTTTTTTTCTACAACTGTCATTTCTCAGAGAAGGAAGTTGAGGTACAGAGAGGCTGGGGGTTTGCCCAGAGTCACAGGTGTCAGCACCAGAGAGGGGTTCAAACTGCAACACTCCCCACCGGCCCCAGGATCCCAGCCTGTGGCCAGAGGCTGCAGGGAGTCTCTCCAGGGTGGGTGCAGGTGATGTGCAGGTGAGCCAGGAGGGGGCTGGCCTGGCCTTCATGGTCACAGCCCTGGGGAGGCATCCTTCTCCTCCTCAGGCCCCTGCACCTCTCTTGGTCCTGGTCAGTCTGGGATTGTCTGCAAGTCTGTTCTCTGAGCTCCGAGCCTGGCTCTGGGAGGGACTCTCTCTGCTGCTGTGAAAGCCTCTGTGTGGCCTCGCTGTGCTCTGTGGGGCCAGAGAAGGCTCTGCGGCAGCCTGCGGGGCTGTGAGGTCACAGATCAGAGCCCAGAGTGTGCTGTCGGGCCGTCTGCATTCACACCTGACTCCACACGTCTCATAAGGGTGGGCAGGGTGCTCGGTCTCCCTGAGGTCATGGCTCCCTTGTCCCGAGGTGGGCATCACAAGGGCTGCAGAGGCTGTTGAGGGAGGAGGAGGAGCAGGGTGCTGGCCTTGGGAAGAGCAGGGGCCTGGTGACTTCCAGGTGCGGCGGCGGGCGCCCCGGGAGGATCCTGGTGGGCAGGAAGATCGGCCCCCTCCTTCTGTCACAGAACCCTGCTCAGCCTTGGGTTCCTGGCCTGGAGTGTGGGAACGCTCCCCCGACTTCCCTCGAGGGTGGCTGGGAGTGCCAGAGAGAACGGTATTTCAGTCATGGAGTTTGCTGAGCACAGTCATCTTCCGGGTCTCGGCCCGACCGTTCACTGGACCGTCTCTTTCGTCTGCAGCTGGCGTCAGACCGCACTGGGAGCAGCGAGACTCAAATGTCTGCCCGGCTTCCCAGCCCCCCTCTGCACCCAGTGATGCCTTCCTGAGTCTGGGGTCCCCGACAAACGTCCCTTCCCAATTCACGGACTCCTTGTGTGTTGTGAGGAAGCAAAGGCGTCTTCCCACAACCCACTCCTGGAAACCCACTTGTGATAAAAGAGGCTGGGAGAATACAGCTGAGAAGTTCTGTCACGTAAAGTCGTGTTTCTGAAAAGGGGCTGTTTGTCAGCAAGGTTGTGTCAGTGGTAAACAGCGTGCCATGAAGGTCGGGCCCAAGGAGCCCAGTCCCGAGGGCCTGTGCGGTCGGAGAGCAGCTTCGCCCAGCCCCCCAGGTGGGCGGTGAGGAACACACCTGCTACCCGGGACCCTGCGTGGAGAGGCCACGACGCCCCAACCAGGCAGCTCTTCTGTCTGTTGCAGTTGGCTGTTTTCTCAGGTCCACCTTCAGGTTCAGTAAACATTCAATTAACAGTCTGCTTCTCCTTTCAGTCCCTTGAGGGCCTCAGGCGGTCTAGGGAGGGAAGGCTTCCTCAGGAGGGTTGCCCGAGGAATTCCCATCTTGCTTTTCCTTCCTTTCTCAGGAAGGGTCCCGGGGCCGATCTCGTCGTAGACCTTGGGCTACTGTCCTGGGTGTTCAATTCACATTTTTAGCTGGTGACGCCGTTTCTCTCTCACAAAAGGAGTTTTGAGATGAGAGCTTCCCCAGCTGACACAGATGCCAGTCTCAAGTCACGAAGTCCATCCTGAAGTGACTTAAACCAGCACAGGACATTCTTCTCACACAATGGGGACATGTGGAGAAAGGCAGCTGCTGGCATCTGTTCGTTTGCTTGACAGGGACAAGCCAGCATCTCATATGGCTTGTGTCAGTGTCCTGGGGCTGCTGTGACAAATGACCACAAACTTGGTGGCTTAAAACAACACACATGTAACCTCTCATGGTTCTGGAGGTGGCTTAAAACAACACACATGTAACCTCTCATGGTTCTGGAGGCCAAAAGTCCAACGTGGGTCTCACTAGGTAAAATCCAGGTGTGGGCAGGGCTGGTTCCTTCCGGAGCTCCGGGGAGGGCTCACTTCCTGGCCTCTTCCAGCTTCTGGAGATGCCTGCGTCCTTGGCTCGTGGCCCCTCCCTCAATCCTCCACAGCGGAAGTGCTGCACCTCTCCATCTTCTTTCTTCATCTCCCTCTGATCGCCTCTTCTACCCCCATCTCCTGCTTTCAAGGACCCGGTGAGCAGTGGGCCCACCTGGGGAATCTGGCATCCTCTCCCCATTTCAGGGTCACCTGATTAGCAACCTTAGTTCGACCTGCAAACTATGTTTCCCTTCACCATGCTACCTAACGTTTGGCAGGTTCTAGGACTAGGGTGTGGGCGTTTCTTGCTGGCGGGTGGGGAGGGCAGTGTGTCATTCTGTCTCCCACAGCTACCACATTTCCATGACCTGTCCTGTCATGGTCTCATGATGGCTGCTGTGTCTCCAGACATCATGTCTGTATTCAAGGGAGGAAAGGGGGAGAAGGCTTCCAGGACAGCACCAGCTGGGTGTCTGCCTTTTTATCAGGAAAATAAAAGGTTTCCCAAAAGTGTCCTAACAGACTCTGTTTACATCTCAAGGGTCGGGGCTAGGTGGCTTGGCTGCGTCTAGTGGCAGGAGAGGCTGGTGCGGTACATAGTAGGGAGAAGGTGGGCATCGGTGACCCTGGGAAGCACTCCCACCGTGTCTTCCACAGCCCCCTTCCATAGCTCCTGAGCTTCTGTCAGCAGAGCTTCACCAGCGGGCCAGCAGGAGGGAGGAAGTGCTGGCTTCCAGGCGTGTCTTTAAAGCTTTCCAGTAGGATGTGCTTGACAGGAGCTCTGGGAGCTCTGAAGGGGACTTGAAAAGCTCCCCCTGGAATTGTGGGGGAGGCTCTGGGGTCTGGAGTCGGCTGTCCTGGGTTCCAGCACCCTGTGGACTTGAGAACAGAGAGGGTGTGCCACCCCAGGGTTCCTGTGGTGCTCAGAGCTCCAGTGCCCTGGGGTGTGTGGGGTGAGTGAGTTAGGGCACCGAGGGAGGGTCTGAGAGGCAGTCACTCTTGGCATCGATTTAGCAGAGGGAGGTGTGCCCCTGCCCCCCAGGACTTTTATTTCAGGGGCAGTTCTGTCCTCAACAAAGGACTCACTGCACATTGAGCAGGTGGCCCATCAGGGACCTGGCAGCACCAGCACCCCTGCTTCTGCCAGAAGAGCTGGTACAGGTTCTGGGTTCCTCAGTGGGCTCTGTGACCTCATACTTTTGATTTCCCTCAAAACACACTGGCTCTGCCAAACTCGTTCAGCTGGAGTGAAGGAAACAGACCTGTGCGCAGTGTGGTCCCTCGAGAGGCAGGAGCTACTGAGAACCCAGCAAGCAGCCCCTCGACCCCCACGTGCCCCTCCCGCCCATTCTGGACACCACGTTCTCAAAGCAGTCTGGGAAATAAAATCTGAGTCAATTCGACTTTTGCTTTTGAACCCTCCATCGACTGGTCACCATGCCTGCATCCTTGGGGACACAGAGAGGGACAGGGTGAGACCCCTGCCCTTGAGAGGGAAAGGAGTTCACAGAGGGAGGGCTCTGGAGGGCTGGGTCCCTGCACTGTGCAGACACTGTACTCCCCTGATCACCGCTGGGTGACTCTACACAGGTGACTTGACCTCTCTGAATGTCAGTGTCCTCTCCTGTTGGGGGCCCCCCGTGGGTATCGCAGGGAAAGTGTGGTGTAAGGACTGGCTTTCACTCTCGTGGTTATTATCATTTTTGATGTGTGAAACAAATACTCGGCACTGGGATTAAACCAAGCCTACTGGCCTGGCCCCACGGATGGGAGCGGAATTTGAATCGACCGGAGCCGCACGTTCATTGTTGGCTGGTCCTGATCAGGCCCTGAGAATGGGCCTTCCGAGATGGGGTGAGCATGGCCTCTGGCCCCACCCCACTTCTCCTCCACGTCTGCATCAGCTTCCTCACTGGGACAGCAGGGGTCCTGGGACCGGCTGAGGGCTGGGCCGGGTGGTACAGGACAGTGCTGAGGACATACTGTGTCCTCCATGGACTAACGGTCACAGTGAAGCCTTGAGGAGGGCCTGGGGGAGGTCCCGCCTGCAGCCCCATTCTCCAGGTGGGGAAACCGAGGCACAGAGGTAGGGTAGGTTTGAAGGTCCATCTGAGGGGAGACTCCAGGGATGAGCAAAGGGTGAAGGGTGAGGGTTGAGGGGTGCAGGGTGCGGAGCTTCCCGAAGTGTTTGCCTCGAGCATCTTTCTCACGTTCCTCCAAGCTCCCTGCCAGCTCTTTTGTCCCCAGAGGGAGGCTGGGCAGTGAGAACCTGGGAATTCTCTTATCTCTGCCGAGCAGGATGCGTCCTGTGTTGTGTCCCCACCGAGGTTTCCAAGCACCGTGATGAGCTTGCAGATTTCGGCGGGCGATTGCTTTGGGGGGGGCTGTGTTTTGTTTGCCAGGCCCCTTGTTCGCGGCCGGCTCCGTGTCCCTGGCCTTTTCAGCTCCTCTGCAGGCCCTTCCCAGCGGAGCGGTGTGAAATGGCAGGGGTGAGTTCCTGCCTGCAGCCATTTCCGCCCATTCTTTCTGTAGGGGCAGCGGGTGGGTTCCCTGCTGGAGGCTGGGGGCTGGGGGGTCGCAGTGCCCTGCACGGCCCTCAGGGGCGCTGTGCAGGCGGGCTAGGGCAGGGGAGGCCTGCTTGCCTGGGCTAGGTTTCCATCCTCCCCACTCCCCGTCAATGCCAGCATCTGAAAGATGCTCCTATCAAGCCACAGAAAGAGCATGGAACTAGATAATTAACCTAGTTCTGTGATGGAGTGCGGGCACGGGTGTTTGTTTGAAAATGCAGATTCTCAGGCCCCAAGTTTCACAGTTAGACTCATTAGAAGAGGGGTGGGACCAACCACCCGTAGTTTACACCAGGACCCAGTAATTCTTCCGACCTGGAACACATGGGGAAAGCCTGGTCTGGCAGCTTGGGCAGCTCTCAGGAGTCAGACAGGCAGAGATTCATCGTCACTGCTGCCCATCCTGGTCATTCCGAGCCTTGGAGCCCCTCAGACCTCCGTCCCGTCCTCTGCTGGCTGAAGAGGCTGTAATCTCTCCTATGGCATAGTTGGGAGATATTCCCATGGTACTCAGGAAAGGGTTAACTCTTGTCGTCCATAACAAAACTCAGAGATATAGCCTTCCTGGGAAAGTTTCTGATGACCATAAACGCGGAGCGACCGCACTGAGCTCACAGGGCTGGAGTCAAAGCAAGGCTGTGAGTGTTTTGAGCACCCTCCGAGGCCTCGTTTTAGGAACCAGAGCTCTTTGCATTGGGAATTTCCAAATGCTGACAGTAATACACGGGACTCGGCTTCCTTATTGTTCCCTGGGGTCCAGGAACCCTGAGTCGGGAAACACCGGGTGACCCTGCGATTTTCAGAGCTGAGGTGCCGGGGCCAGAGAGGGACTGACGTTCCTCAGGACACAGCAAGTTAATTTTCACAACACGAGGGCAAAGTCCTACAAGACCCATCGGAGGCACTCCTGCCCCTCCCGGAAACGTCACGGCGGCCGCGTCAGGCTGGGCGGCCCCCGTTCAGCGCTCACCCAGCTCCGCGCTGGCCCCCAGAGGCCTTTTGCGCCTCAGTTTCCTCCTGCGTGAGATGTGGGGTAGGGCGTTACTCCCCAGGAGGAGGAGTCGGTGCACTTAGACTCTGGCAGCGCCCAGGGCTTGAGTGTTGGTGGCAGTGGCCTCTCTTTTTCACAGGTGGGAAAACTGAGGGGCCAGGAGGGATCTCTCACTCATGCAAGGGCCCAGGTAATGAGTGGGGGGCTGGGGTTTGAATGGGGGCCTTTGAGAACTCCGCGCCGCCCTCAAGTCCGCAGAAACAGGCAAAGGGGTGGCGGGGGAGGCCGGAGTGGGCTGCTGACTGTCTGGCAGGATCAGCAGTCCATGGTGCGGAGGGGCTCAGACAGGCCCCTCCACGTCTGTCCAGCTCCTCTGGGCTTCCCTGAAAGTCAGTGCGGAGGGGACCCCGACCAGTTCCTTAGGGTTGCGTGTCCTTGTCTTTTGTGAACTTTCTGCTTTGCCGCAGGGAACCTCCCAGTTCTCCCTCGTCCCAGGGTTTCTGTTGACCCAAAGCAGGAAGCTGCAGGCTCAGAGCTGGTTTCACATTTATTGGCTTATGTCTTCCCAGAGCAGGGGTGCAATAAAACGTGAAATATGGTGGCCGACCAAATGGCCTCATGCTGTCTTCCTGAGACTGTTTTTCCCTTGGGGAGGAACACACACACTCACATGCACATACATACCGTCATTTGCATGCACACACATACACACTACACATTCACCCATATGCACACGCACACCCACTCACACACGCACACGTGCACACACATGCGGACACACCCTGCATGGTGAGATGGGTCCACCATTGATCTCCTGCTCATGAAGGCTTGGCCAGGCTGGGAGGGTTCTAAGACAGACTGGCTTTATTCAAGTATCTAATATAGTAGCTTCTGAGTCCTAGCATTGTCACCAGGAACCCCCAGCTTACACTGAAATAAATTTGTCACCTGCCAGATGGTGTCACCACTGGAACAAACCACTTGCATAATTTGAGGCCTGGTTCCTCAAGATTTCCTATCACAGACTCTTCAACAGAGTAGGCTGCCCTTCCTGAGAGTGTGGACCAAGAGTAGAACCTGCCCAAATATGACCTCTTGGGCATCTCCTCGCATTAAAAATCATACCATTGTCACTTTGCATTCCATATTATTTGTAGAGGTATTTTAAAAAGCCATGTGTCCTTTGCATTATTTTAGCAAAAATGATTTTTTATGCATCATGTTTGTCTTGGGTCTTCTCATGGTCTCTTTGTTAGAAAGGCCAAATTGACTTTAAGGTGATAACCTGAAATGCAGTCTCCTCTTCCTGAATGTCAGTCATTCACACCTTAGTAAGAATGGGGACACAGACTGAAGAGTAGGTTTTCAATGACAAATTGAAATGGGACCATTAAACCTCAGATCCCTGTGAGGGGAATGCTGATGCCCTAGAAATAGTCAGATATATGAGGGAGTCGGAACAAAGACATTTCCCTGTGGGTCTCAGCCTCCCCTAGTCCTCTGTCTGTGGTCTGCGCTAACCAGAACCTGGCAGGGATCAGGGGCAAGATTCTGCCATGGAAACTTCTCTCCCTGGACGAGAGCTCACGTGTCTGGTTCCTCTCCCATCACCCTCTGCTCCCGCCCGTCACGGAGAAGGCTTCTGCTTTGCTCTTTTCTTTGTATCTACCCATTTTCTCCATTTTGGCAGGGCACTGAGAATGTCAGTGTGGGGTGTTCCTCTTTGACTCTGGCATTTTCCAAACCTTTGCACAAACCCTTAAACTATGTTTAAAATATATCACTTGTTATCCTACATGCATAACACTAAGACTTTAATGAGGTTATTGTTTGTCTAACCAAATGGGATCATAGTTGGCTGCATTCATGATGTCTGCTTCCTTACCTAGATTCGAATCCCATTCCTGCCACTCCCTAGCTGTGTGACCTTGGGCAGGTTACTTAACTTCTCTGTAGTTGTCTAATCTACGAAAGGAGGATAAAAACAATACCTGGGTTGTTTGAGGACTGATTAA